TGTTTAAATATCTCTGTGCAGTGAAGTGCATTTTAATAAGTGTTTATAACTAGAAATATCACCACGAGGTGTTGTCGCCCCGGCTACCGGCCCTCTCGGGCCACTTAGTGCGATCTTTGTTAAATGTTCAATACAAGAATGGCAAAAACGCGAATGCATCGTTTTCACCGCTATCAGATGTGGTGTCCTCAGCACTCTACGCACTTAACGACTCCCATTATACGGAGCCGCATTTAAATAATCGCCTACAGCACCAGAAGCAACAACAGCAGCTACGTATATGCAACGAGCCAACCTGTAAATTCAACCTTCACGCAGCTGTCTACACCACCCGTGGGATATTCTCAACCGTCTCCACAGATACATACGTCATATTCTCCTTCTCTTAAGCGCCCCAGATTGCAAGATGCAATGTATAACCAAGCTTCGTATGTGCAGGGATCCAGCATGTCTTATAGTGCAAAAGTGCCTTTATGTAACATCCCAACTAGCAATAGATTTTCCACTCTCGATCCTGACTCCGACCCTGCCCCAGAGTAAGATGCCTCAAACAACAATTCTCCTTCCTCACAACCAATTAATGTAAAATCCAATCATTATTCATGATCCACCTGCTCATACGGAACTCTTGCAAAAAAATAATGAAATGCGTAAATATGAAAATTTTGTTACTAAATTCAGAGAACCTTATACTGAAATCAGAACAAGTACAGTCGAAGACTTGACTTTACTTCGTAAACACTTGTCAACGAAAGAGTGGTACTATCGTACCTACAGGGTCTCAACAAAAACTATTTCTGTGGTGCTAAGAAATGTCCCATCATCCTATAGTGAGGAAGAAATATATCAAGAACTAATAAACAAAAATTACCAGTAATAACTGTTATTAGACGGAGTGATTCTAATCGTAAACCTTGTCCTTTGTGTGCAGTGACTGTACGAAATCAGTAGAAAGCTGGGCAATATATGAACTAAAAGAACTTCTCAATGCTATAAGCACGGTTGAAGAGCGTCGTCACAGACCAGGGCCAGTGCTTTGTCGAGGTGGTCAGATATACAAAACAGAACTGTGGTAATCCTCCTCGTTGCGACAAAGGTGTAGGGCCGCTGCCACGGACAGATATTCTAGTACTAATACAAAATATTCACTCTGCAGACAGGCTCATCGGTCTTCTAGCCGCGACTGTGAAATTTATCAATAAATTCTCCATAGAAAATCACTCCCATCCCGCTATCCCATCCGACAACTATTCGCACAAGCAATGCCCCATCATTCTCGTTCATTAACCTCTCCAAGGGCTCCTACTGTAGCATATCCTCACTTTCCCCTTCCATCCCTATCACAATGCATCAAGAACCAAATTCCCTCCTCATATAATTCCACAGCCATTATTACCAAACCAAATGCCGCTATATTAAGATGCTTTCAAACAGCCTATTCTCCCGCCCATTGGGCAGCCCTTCCAGTTGGAACAGTTTATCTCCCAACAGGTAGAACATTTCTTCTCCCAACTCTCAAGTCAAATTATTCCTCCTCTCACAAACTCCATCATTCCATCAATAAAGTTATAATATCCATAAAACATGCCTATAAGTAGAACCACTCACTCCTCACTTCGTCTCATTTCATGGAATGCAAATGGTGTTAAACCTAATATTCATATGCTAGCCCACTTTTGCATAATAATAAAATACAAGTAGCTTGCTTTCAGGAAACCCATCTTTGCCCTTCGATGAAAATTTATATTCTCGGCTATATTCTATATCGCTATGACCGACCGCAAAAACGGTGCAGCGGTGAGGTCGCCATATTCGTAAAAAGTTCTATAAGACATCCACCTTTAAATATAAATAATACTTTCGAAAATGTTAGTGTGGTGATTCAGCAGAAATGTCAATCTACCCTAATAATCATTTCAATTTACAAGCCCCCTAATATTCCATACAAATCAGGTGATTGTATACTATATGATATTGATATTGATACCTTATTTTTCTCGTCAACCCACATTAGTGATCGGTGTTTGGAATGCTAAACACGTTGGTTGGGAAAGTAGACTAAACTCACCTGCTGGTAATCTGTTGCTAGCTGACATACAAATATTAAATCTGGCAGTGCATGCTTCTTATACACCTAGCAACTATCCCTACCGCGCGTCAGTGCAAGCTGATCTTCTAGATATCGGCGTTTCAAACAACATTAGCTGTAACATTCAAGTCGAGACTCATATCGCCCTGCAATCTGATCATTGCCCCGTACTTTTCGCACTCGGCACAACCTCAGAATAACTTCGTCCCGCTCAACCTTATCATTTACGTAATGCCAACTAGCCACATTATCGGATGCTAGTTACACATCTTCCACCTCCACTGCCGTTACTCCGAATTACGCAGGAAATCGACAGCGCAATTGACTTACTTACTCATACTATATTAGATACCCTCGACTTAACGGCCCCACTGCTCATTAGTGCACCTCGTTTTCAGCAATACCACTTGCAGTGAAGAAAATAATCGATTATCCTAATCACTTGTTGAGGCATCGATCTACTCTTCTAAAATCTTATTTAAACCTTCCAACTAAAATTATGAGACAACGTTTGGCGTCCATCCATGCGCAAAACATTCATCTTCAAACTCAAAGGGCAGACCCATCTAATAATACACTGTGAAACATAACCCGTTGTCACAATTGGAAAGCTATTTGAAAAATGTATTCTCTCTTAATTCTTACCTCAGCTCAGTCAATGTCATACCACCTCATCAGTTTGGATTCCAACCCCCTTTGTCTATGTGTCATCAAATCTTGTGCCTAACTGAAGATGTCATATAATGTCTCAAGATTCTTGTATATAAATCATATTAATATATTTATCTTATGCGGCTGCAGAGGGCTAATGGCAAAGCTAGAATAAATTAAAAAATCTGTGAGGTTAGACAAAAATGCGTCGTTAGACAAAAAACGTCAATTATAACTTGAGGTAATGTTCTAATTGTCTCATAGTAAAACTCATCGTACCATCGGGTAATGCTCGTTTTTTTTGAAAATATAAAAAAAAGTATCAAAACTTCAAAATATAACAGCGAGTTTGGGGTCAGAAAAGTACGGAATCCAAACTTAGCTCTTTAGTTAAAAGTTAGGTACAATTTTTTTGTAAAGAGTATTACTTTTTGCGTATTTTGTTTGAAATTAATAAAGAATTATGGGCGTCTCGTCGAACATAACGATAACGAGAAAGTGTGCGTTGCTGTGGCTCCATTAGTTCATAGTATAGGCACAGAGCATTGCAATTAGTTCCTTTATTCTAATAACTAACACATAACAAGTCCTTATTTTGCTGCAATATCAAGAAGTGAATGCGTTTCTATAAAATTAAACATGTTCATCAATCATTAGAGACGTTTTGTAGATTAATTCAAGAGAAGTCTTAAAAGCGCATGACGTAGATATTTATGCATCCGTTCCTCTGGCTCATTCAATTTAAATAAAAGAGACATGCTAAGAAGACAGAGCTAAGAAGTAATACGATCAGCATTATCTGTGGTGGTTATAAAAATACTATCAGGACAAAACGCTGGGTGTATGAAAATGCAGTTTACTGAGTGAACAAACAAAAAGCATAGGCATGTGAGAGTTATCCAGTATAAATATTTCCGAACTGGAAATAAAAATATCCTGCACAAACTACTAGAAGAAACCAGGGAAATTTTAGGTATATCCTTGCACATTAAATTAGGCTTGACGCAGCTTGTGAAGACAATACTTCAAGACGGGCTACACTTCTCATTACCTCTCAATGCATTTTCTTTTTATCACGCAAAAGAAATTGAAAGCCTGAATGTTTATTGGACCACAAAGCCCCAAATTGGCGAAGGTCAAAGAAATTGAAAAAATAAAAATTAATGAGAAAAAAATATTCTTGGACTTCCTTCACATCTGTCACTGAAAAAAAGACGGTGAAAAGAAGATCGTGGTTCCAAAACTATTGTGGAATAATGTTTAAAAACTTTTAGAAGTTGGATTGTAACATTAATTTAAAGCTTTAATTCTTGCACTCTCATATTGACTATTTTCCAGCAAATCGAAGACATTACAGTGAAGAAAAAGGTGGACGCTTCCATCAGGATTCCAAGGAGATGGAGAAGAGATAATAGAAGATATGGAATTACAATGAAATGGATGACTACTGTTGGATATATATAGTGGAGATGGAGAATGTGTAAGGAAGTCACAGTAAAGAAAATTTAAAAATCAATGAAAAAATTGTTGGTGTGGTATGTTGGAGACAAAAATGTCTAGAAAAGGTGTTTTTGTAATAATTACTTTCTGGAAAATAAACCATTTTATGACAATTTTATTAAGTAAATTAGTTAAAATTCAAAGAATATATTTTCTCATTTTTGTATAAAAACACGATCAGGTAGAGCAAATGGATCTCATTTCTAGAATTGGCCCAAAGAGTTTATAAAAGATAACTTATTATTAATCATCTAAGAAAACATAAAAATAGCAGACTAACAGCCTATCGGCAATGGATTAAAAAAGGTTCGTGTGGTTAACACGAACCCCTTATTCCTTATATTTTGGTCTTTGTACACTTAGGGTGGTCAGCAGTAAATACTAGGACATTTGCAAGGAAGGCGCGCAGTTTGTCTCAACCAGAAATCGTATCCCAGGTTGTGCCTTGGAAAGCGAACGCGCTAACCCACGACCCGCCCAGGATCATTATAGTCCTTTACAGTCAATGTCTGTAGTATACCGAAATAAAACATTTTTTATATTTTTTTATATTTTTATTTACATAAACATTAATAAAAGCATTAATTAATAATAAAAGAGTAAATAAAATACAAATAATGAAAATATGAAAAATAAAAAACCATCCCATATAAGCTATCAATTCATGTGTCCTAGTAAATAGGATTCACATTTGTATCCCCCATTTCGTCATGTTCATAAAATAATCTACGTCATTCTCGTATGACTTTTGCCATATATGTTACTCTCCTCCTTCTTCCCCACCGAATTCTCCCTCCTCTTCTCCTCCAGCTTCTTGGTACTGCTGATACTCCGAAATCAAGTCGTTTAAGTTCGACTCGGCCTCCGTGAACTCCATCTCGTCCATGCCCTCACCCAAGTACCAGTGCAAGAAGGCCTTGCGACGGAACATAGCCGTGAACTGTTCCGTCATGCGTTTGAACACCTCAACGACTGCGGTCGTGTTTCCCATGAACGTAACAGACATCTTCAAACCTCGAGGCGGGATATCGCAGACGGCCGTTTTTATGTGGTCTGGAATCCACTCCACGAAGTAACTGCTGTTCTTGTTTTGCACGTTGAGCATCTGCTCGTCCACTTCCTTGACTGACATGCGGCCTCGGAACATGGCGGCCGCTGTGAGGTAGCGGCCGTGGCGCGGGTCGCACGCCGCCATCATATTCTTGGCGTCGAACATCTGCTGGGTGAGTTCTGGCACGGTGAGGCAGCGGTACTGCTGGCTTCCTCGCGATGTGAGCGGTGCGAAGCCGGGGACGAAGAAGTGGAGGCGAGGGAAGGGCACCATATTGACTGCTAGTTTTCGTAAATCGGCGTTGAGCTGGCCAGGGAAGCGAAGGCACGTGGTAACTCCCGACATGGTGACGGAGACCAAATGGTTGAGGTCACCAAATGTCGGACACGTGAGCTTCAGTGTGCGGAAGCAGATGTCATACAACGCTTCGTTGTCGATGCAGAATGTGATGTCTGTGTTCTCAATAAGAATGTGCACGGAGAGCACGGAATTGTAAGGCTCCACGACGGTGTCGGAGACCTGAAACAAAAGGAGTTAATTGGAATATTTTGGCTGTTATGTGAGAATATACATAGTAAATGGGTTTGATCTATTGCATTGACATAACAATTCTTCAATTTAGTTGCGACGAAACATTAAGAGAGAATTCCTGCCATCGATGTCTCCGTTGCACGCGCGCCCATCTCCAAAATGCAATTCCATACCTGATGCGTCATCCTTAAAACAAATGTGTATGTCTACCAATTCTCTGCATATTGTTCCGTTAGTGACGTTGAATGTTAGTTTCTAAGAAGAGATTATATAAAAATTACGGAAAGTAAGTTACTTTTCCACCTCCACCCCCCAATTCCTGCTGCTACTTCACTGGGTTCTCTAGGATAAGTACAATCATTACGCTAGTGAATTAGTATTATCGCCTTTGTTTTGTCCGTAGAAACGTTTTGCGGATCTCACACGCAACCAAACTTTATAAATGAGATCTATGAAAGAGATAATTTAACGGAGACATTACAAATTGTTCTATGACATTAAAAATATGAAGGATGTTTGAAAAACGCACCTAAATATTAATGTCAAACTGTGGGACACTGAAGCAACCCCCCATACAACATTATCAAATCTATAGACTAAATGAAGCATTCTAGGGCCTTAAATCCTAGAATTTTCAGGCGGGTGGTCTCAAAGAAACCTGTCTTATATCGTAATCTACAGAATGAGATTTTCTTGGTCATTCTTTCACTAGTTAGGCGTCCCTCGATTCATCCTCAGCTATTTAAAGACGTGCACAAAATCTGCAAATATGAGAAATTAAACTACTTACTTGATATTCTATACAACTGCATTACATGGGTGTACTGACCGGTAATGAAGTTTAATACTTTGCAAAGAAGTTCGTATTTCCCGATTGTGTATTTTCGCATGGACCACATTTCGTAGCTTTCTCAAGAGTAAGAAACACGTCTCTAATATTTTTTTAAATGTCGCTTTTTTAACATCTTCGTCATGTAGCAATTATCTGTGGGGGCAACTGTAGGAAGAACACGTAGGAACAACACGGACATAACCACAAACATCCCTGCCCGAGGTGGAATTCGAACCCGCGATCCTTCGAGCCGAGGCAACTACGGTCCCCCAGCCTTAGCAACCTCCGCTATCAAGGTTGGCTATAATGTTTTTGTAACAATGAAAGAAAACGGAAAAAATCGTCAGAATATATTGTATAATTATTTCAAATATTTTTAAGAAAGTCTTATGAATTGTTCTAGTAATTTTTGTCTAAAATTCTGATTAAACCTTTATTGAATATTTGTTTCAAACATCAATTGCATGGTTTTTATTTTTGTTTGACATTTTGTCAGTACGTTGGAAGTTAGCTTTGTACATTTTTTAAACAAACAAATGCGTTTGGATAACAACTTTTCGCCTTAATATGGAAATGGATGAGAAAATAGTGGGGTTCAACATGCGTGATTTCTCGCGCGGGTACGCTAGTGTAATATAATTCCATAACTCATTCTTTAGTTTCTTAATTGAAATATCATTGAAATTACAGTACTTTCCCTAAAGGTCATCAATCATTTCATTTCTTAAGTACTTTACTATAATTAAATGTATTTGATGAGGAGAGACTAATAAAAGATTTCCAAAACATACTATTATAATACTATTGTTCAGTAGGAAGTGATGAAGGCGGGACACTTCGGTGAGCAACACAAAAAAAACTTTATATTAAATGTGCTTACAGGAAAAAGGCCACTAAACATGCATGGTAACACACACTGGAATACACTTTCGGTTTCACAACTATTCGGTGGTACTACTTTGGGTTTGTCGGTCAGTACTGGAATAGCACCACTTACAGCAAGCCTGCGTCGATAGTGGAAAGCGAACGCCACAAGTTCCCGCGCATTGGAGATGTCAAGAATTCAACACCGCTCTGGAGCCAGAAATGTCTACCTAAAGTGCACACAAGTCGTCATGCATGTAGCACGTATGTAGCATATGGCAGGAGTTTATCGTCGTGCTTGTAACTGAATATGCAAGGTCGTTTGGTCTACAATCCTGAAAGTACCGCGAGCGTCTGACGTGAGAAGACAGCAACCGACGCTGGAGCGTCCGCCGGAGTGCTCCTGTGTGCTCGTTAGATGGAACCCGGCGCGGCGGTCGGGTGTTCTCGTATAATCTCGTGGAGTTCTAATCACTCTACGTGACGTGCGTATTATATGTATAGCTCCCGTTGCCCTTGTAACAATTTAACATATAAGAATACGACAGTAATTCTTCAAGTGCATGACGGCTTGGGTGAAGATTTAGTGAAGATTTAGAAAGCAAGATTAAGGAAAAGAAAAAATTATATTTGACATGGATTTCAAATAGGAATGACGACACACGGACAGGATAATGTAAGAAAAGAGAAAAGAAGTTAAAGAATTAGTAAAAATCGAAAAAAATGAAACTGGGAGAGATTATGTAGGGATATAGATGGTACATTGGAATATAACAGATCAACTGAAGCATGGAAACAATTAAAAATATGAAGAAAAAACTGTAACAGAAGCAAAGTACAAATAATAACTCCTACAAAATGGATTGACTACTACGAAACATTATTGCAAGAAAATAGAGTCGAATACCAACAAGATTTGGAATGCACATATTGGCAAGAATGGGTACCTGAAATTAGTCGGCTTGATGTAAAGAGGGCTTTGGCGAGAGCCAAAAACAATAAAGCTCCAGGACCAGGAAACCTTAAAATGGAACTTTTAAAATACGGAGGCTCAAGTATAATTGAATACCTTCAAAATATTTTTAATAGAATTGAAGTTAGCGGTGATATCCCGCAGGAACGGAATAATGTCATACATCAGTTCCATACACAAGAAAGGTGACAAAAACTATTTTGTGAAATTACAGAGGAATTAGTGTCATTCCATAGTTTATTCGCTAGTATTCTAAAGGGAAAAATACAAAAAGTGAATAACTTTCAGCGAAGAACAAAGTGTTTGAGTGGGGTCATGTTTGGATAACATCGATTGCTTACGCCAGATAATAGAAAAAAATGGAATGCACAATATAGATACATATATCACATTTATTGACCTGGAAAAGGCCTATGACAGTGTTCCAAAATGTAAAATTTGGCCAGCAATGAAAAGACTGAAAGTGCAAGAAAAATGGATTAATTTAGTTACAAAAATGTATCAGAATACTGAAGCGTGCATTAAAATGCGGAGGAAAATTACCAGAAGCATTAGAACTAACAAAGGGTTAAAGCAAGGATGTAGCTTATCGCCACTTCTCTTTAATATATATATATATATATATATAATATATATATATATATATATATATATATATATAATATATATATATATGGAACAAGCTTTGGAAACCTGGTACAAGAAATGTTCTCAAATGGGAGTTCCCATAAATGACAAGTGCTTACATTCTTTGCTTTTTGCAGATGATCAGGTAATTATGGCATCAGATCGGGGAAGATATGGAGTATATGCTTCGCAAATTAAAAGAAAGAATACGAAAAATGGGGACTTAAAATCAACCTTAAAAAGACAGAATATTTATGCATAGGAGGAGAGGCCTCTAATATTAATGTCACTGATGACGAGATAGCTAACGTTTCGAAATTTAAATATCTTGGGATTGTAATTACTGACGATGGAAAAATTGATGAAGATATAACTACTAGACTTGCAATGGGAGGAATGCAATTAAAGCTCTGCATGGCCTTATATGAATAGTGTTTTAAGGCAAGATACAAAGCGACACATATTCCACAGTATCGTGGAAAACCTATTATATTATAATGGAGCAGAAATGTGGCCGTTAACAAAACGCCGTAGAGACAGAATACGGTCGGTAGAGCTCTACTTTATGAGTAGATCTTTGCAGATAACAAGACTGGATAAAATAAGGAACGAAGTGGTGTGGAAAAGAGCTGGGGTTCAAACAACCATAACCAGAAGACTAGAAAATAAAGCTCTTCAATGTCCAAAGGATGCGAAATGAGAAATGGCCAAAACAAATTATAAATTGGATACCTGAAAGAAGACGTAGAAGAGGTAGACCTGATATAATCTGAAAGAAATATATATATATATATATAGGTTCAACATGCGTGATTTCTTCGCGCGGGTACGCTAGTGTAATATAATTCCATAACTCATTCTTTAGTTTCTTAATTGAAATATCATTGAAATTACAGATACTTTCCCTAAAGGTCATCAATCATTTCATTTCTTAAGTACTTTACTATAATAAATGTATTTGATGAGGAGAGACTAATAAAAGATTTCCAAAACATACTATTATAATACTATTGTTCAGTAGGAAGTGATGAAGGCGGGACACTTCGGTGAGCAACACAAAAAAAACTTATATTAAATGTGCTTACAGGAAAAAGGCCACTAAAACAATGCATGGTAACACACCACTGGAATACACTTTCGGTTTCACAACTATTCGGTGGTACTACTTTTGGTTTGTCGCGTCAGTACTGGAATAGCACCACTTACAGCAAGCCTGCGCGATTAGTGGAAAGCGAACGCCACAAGTTCCGCGCATTGGAGATGTCAAGAATTCAACACCGCTCTGGAGCCAGAAATGTCTACCTAAAGTGCACACAAGTCGTCCATGCATGTAGCACGTATGTAGCATATGCAGGAGTTTATCGTCGTGCTTGTAACTGAATATGCAAGGTCGTTTGGTCTACAATCCTGAAAGTACGCGCGAGCGTCTGACGTGAGAAGACAGCAACCGACGCTGGAGCGTCCGCCGGAGTGCTCCTGTGTGCTCGTTAGATGGAACCCGGCGCGGCGGTCGGGTGTTCTCGTATAATCTCGTGGAGTTCTAATCACTCTACGTGACGTGCGTATTATATGTATAGCTCCGTTGCCCTTGTAACAATTTAACATATAAGAATACGACAGTAATTCTTCAAGTGCATGACGGCTTGGGTGAAGATTTAGTGAAGATTTAGAAAGCAAGATTAAGGAAAAGAAAAAATTATATTTGACATGGATTTCAAATAGAGGATGACGACACACGGAAGGAATATGTAGAAAAGAGAAAAAAGTTAAAGAATTAGTAAAAATCGAAAAAAATGAAACTGGGAGAGATTATGTAGGATATAGATGGTACATTGGATATAACAGATCAACTGAAGCATGGAAAACAATTAAAAATATTGAAGAAAAAA